ATTTGAATAAAGCTAACATAAAAAAATTCTGACAAACTTTCCGTTGAATATAATACGATCAAATTTAACAACAACTTGATTGTAATAATTAGAAAATCAAAATAAACAAATTATTCAATTTAATTTTGAGATTAATATAATTTACAAAGTTCATAGTAGTTTGTTTATTATTTCTAAACATTAAACTTTTACTTTTATACATCAATAATACATTCCTTTTGAAATGATGACAATATTGAGAAGTTTTATTCAATAAAATTATTAATACGAAAATGATTATCATCATTAAGTTTTTTTCTTACGAATCAAACGTACCATTTTTATTAACTGCATTGTATAAGAAAAAAAAACAGTTGCCTAATTTAAATTAATTGTTCAATTTAAATTAAAAAATAAAAAAGAAGAAAAAAGCACCTGACAGTATTGTGTCAAATAATAAAACGAAAGATACCGGTTGAGAGTAGAGAAGATAAGGAATAACAATAGAAAATATACAAAGAAAAAAAAAATACCCGTACAAGTTCAAAAGTTAAGATCAATGTTAATAAATAAATACTCATTTCAATGGACTACTTTTCTAAATCTTTTCTTTTTTACTAGCATCGACTTGTTCTTGACGATAAATCTAATCTATATTGAATATCCTCTGTTCATGAGCATCTTTAACTTGATGATTTTGTTCATAATTATCTATAGGAGAATTTTTATTGTCTGCTGATAATTGAGATTGATTATTAGAAATATTTGTTTCGTTTAAAAATGGAATGGAAGTAATATTTATAGTTTTCTGAGCATTTCCAATATCTAGACGCATGTTATTATTGTTATCAGTATCATTAAGAAGTTGATTGTCAAATAATGAATTATTCAATGATCGTTGTAACTATACAATAAAAAACAAGAATCATAAAATGCAATAAAAATTTATATGATATTATCTTACACGTTGATGAAAATCTGAATTATTCAGTTCTTGATCTAAAATTAGATTAATGATTTAGTATGCAAACTTTTATTTAGTGTTGTTTCTTAGATTAAAATGACCTTGTATCTTTTTGTTTTTGAATAAATGAATCTTTTTACTCTAGATAATGAACACATATTTCCAGTCTCTTAAAAAATAATAATCTTTCTAATGTAGTCATATTTGAGAGAACATATACGCTTGCTGAAAAAGCATCGCACTGTGCTGGGCATTGTGTTAAGCAGTCATAGAAAATACATAAAAGAAAAAACTATAAAAAATAATCCAATGTAAATTGTTTGATGATTCTATCGTTTCTTTGCTAATATTTTATTTGTTTCATGTAATCGAAATCTTGAAATAAAGACATGAGTACATCGAATGAATCAAAGAATAGTCAATATGAAAGATGAATTTTATACTGCAAGAAAAAAAAAACAAATATTTGAATAAAGATATTAGTCAACAAAGAAATAGCTATTATGCAATTACTAATAAATATTAATGAAACTAATCTCGTATACAAGATTGACATTGGAAATGAGATAGTGACGCCTACTAATCAAAATTTGTCATTAGAAGAAATATAAGATCTTTATGATAATTTCTTATACTACTCATATACTTGAACTGTCATATGTCTATTCAATAGAAAACAAATAATTTACAAGTTAATCTTTCTCAAATTTTATATGACTAGAATTCTTACATCAAAAAAAAAAAAGCTTAAGTAAAGCATGTCATGAGTTTATCTTAAGATTCGCTTCTAAAAAAATGTAAATTTTCGTTAGAAAAATAAAAATTGAGAAAAATGCATGGGAAGATAGCTCGAGGTCTGATATTTCATAAATGACATGATTTTTTATTTCGTATTTTGTTTTTTTTTTTACCAAAACTTTTCATGATTCCCGTCAACTTATACTTTTTTCAGAAAAAACAGCAAATCTTTTTCGTTTTTTCTCTATTTATGCCTTTCTAGAATTCTCGAATGAGCCTCATAATTAGCCAATCGTTATTTTTTTGTTTGAGAAAATATGTGAAGCTGCAGTGTATGTTTTTTGAATTAACTCTTTGGATCCCGGCAGCTTCGTAAGGAGCCACCCATGTTTTTCTTTTCAACATTAATGTATGCAATTTGAACTGTTTTCACAGTTCAATAGACGTCAACAATACCTTCAGCTTGATATATCACATTAATATTTTTTATATTCACACATCTTCTCACAATCTCCTTTTCTTTAAAAAGGAAATTAACATGAAATAAAATAAGAAATTTAAAAAAGCCTCTTCAATTTTTCGATAAAAAACCGGAACTGAAAGGGTTAAGTTTTTCTTATCATTATATAAAAGAGCACTTCTCTAAGTAGGAAACCATTTTTTTGAGAGTTGTTCACCTTATTGAACTTGTCATCCTCTGTCTTCGTATAAAAAGTACGAACTAAAAGGAAATTTCAAGTTTACAAGCTCTTGCAAGTACAAAAAAATCAAATATATAGAATGAGAGTCGATATAAAATTTTGCTTTACTAAATGAACTATTTTTACCTTTGTTTTGTTGAATATTTTTCGAAAACGTTATAATATAAGGCTGAAAATTTAATTATAATCTCCCCGCTACATTCCTAACATATCCTGAAAATTTCATGCGATTTGAATACACTTGATCTAAGATCAGTTTTTAAGATTTTCTTTTACTCTACGAGTAACTATACGTCTAAATATAGTGAAACTATTACCTACTAAACCATTTTTAGGTAATACAGAAACTGATTCATTACGGCTGAGTTGCAGCTGTTCTTGTTGTTTTTCATTAGTTGGAATTGTTTGATTTGTTAGTGAATTAGGAATATCTTCTTTACTTTCACTCTTAATCTGATTAAGTTGAGCTAAAGGTTCTTGAGATACTAATAAAGAAGTTTTAATTGTTTCATTAGGTAATAATAACGGTTGAAAACGTTGATTTGGAAGTATAATAGAATTTTCTTGATTATTTTGTGATTGACTTCTGAAAAATAAAAACATTTTATTTAATAAAAAACAAAGAAAAAAAAAACTTCAATTATTTCAATTTACAGTTGTTTTTCATAATTGTTAATTTCTTGTTTCAATCGATTTAATTGTTCATCATGAGATTCTAAACATTGTAATTTAATGATTCAAATAAAAATAAAAATAAATTAAACAAACTTTTTCCTTCATCAAGTTCTTCTTGTAATTTTTCAATAGCTATATTTTTTGAAGCAAGTGTTTCATTTATAGTTTTAAATTCTATCTATAAGATCATTAAAAATAAAATAAATAATTAATAAAAATTCAAAAATAATTATTTTGTATATTAATTTACTAATTGATTATCAAGAAATTGTTTATCGTATTTTAAATTTTGAATTTGTACTTTTCTTTCATTTAATTTTGTATTAAGATTATTGACTTCTGAATCTTTTTGTTCTATTTGTTGTTGAATATTTGTTTTTTCGTTTTCCAAATCACGTATAGTTGCACTAATTGATTCAATTTCTTTTTCTTTCTCAAGATTTTTTTCTGCTAACTAAAAATATCAAAAAAAAAAACTTCTTTTATATATTTAAAATATATTCTTTTACTGTTCGTATGCGTTGTTCAAAACTTGCTAATGTTTCTTGAAATTCATTTGTTTGTGATGAACATGACATATAAAAAATTCCAACAAGACATACTATCATAACAATACCAACAAAAATAAAACTCGGCGTTCGACCTGCCATTGTGATCTAGTTGCCGATGGCTAATATGTTTTTGAATCTAAAAGAATTAGTTATTTATTTATTTATTAGAAAAAGAAAAAAAATTATTAATTTATAGAATAGAATATTATTTTAGAAAAAAAAAAAGATAATCTTTTGCTTTTATTCTTTTCAATCTATTTCTCTTTTCGTGACCCGAAAAAAATAAAAAATTTGAAATATTGTACAGTTCAGATATCATACGTTTCTTTGAATTTTTTTTATAACGATGATTACTTATGTTTACTATGGCTTCTGTTTTGAATTGTTGATTTGTGTACATAACTATGAACACAACGATAACTATTCTAAAAAAATATTAACTTTAATAGAGAAAAGGAACGAATGACAAATATTCAAATGTCAATAAAACAATTCTAGTAATTTCTTTTTCCATTTACATTCTTATTAAGATTTTCATGTGTCAAAAAAACAAAATCACTAAAGATCAAAAGATCAAAAGAACCTCTCAACAAATCTCACTCAAAATAAAATCAAAATAAAATTAAATATCCAGCAAAAATATAAATTATTAAATCATAACCACAAACCACAAATTAAACGATCACTATAATTAATATTATGCTAAAAAAAGTTATCAATCACTAACCTTAAATATAATATGTAAATGAGAGAAAACGAGAAATAAGTAATAAATTATATTTGATCAATAATAAATACTATTGATACTTTATATAGATAGATGTCGCAATTAATCAATGCAACTTTGACTTTTTATATTATTTATACAAATTCAATTTTATATCGTTTGACAATTATTGAATAGTAAAACTAATAGTCTAATAAAAGAAAAACTGAAGATAATATTCTTATACAATCAAATGATAATATATCATCGTGTCTGCCGGATGTTATTCTATAACCGATTATCGACAATCAATGATGATAAATTATTTACTTGAGTTATTTTTTTTCTTGATATTGATATATTATGTTTATTTTTCCAATTATAATACATAATAAAATATGACTTCTTTGGAGTATTCACATAGTAGGTGTTCTACCATGAATATAGCAGATCATTGTAACCGATATTTTCTGTAAGGAAGAAGTACTACTCCAATGTCATTATTCATTCTCAACCTTATCCAGTACTGTATAATCTAGCAAAAAAGAACTTTTTCTCCTCAGGAAAATGTCAATTAGAATATGCTTTTGCATCCATAGTAGATACAAGTTTTCTCTTCTATGAAGAACATCTATAACAACAAAAAGAAACAATAACTTAATATGAGTTGATGGCTATTCTAGTTAATGTACTGCTTCTATTAGTATGTCACAGAAATCTTTTGAATACTTAATGGGTTTTTAAGACTTGACTACAAAATGTTTTATTTACTAATTTCTTGAAAATTTTTTCATAGAATGCTGTAGAAACTAGACATGTGTCTGCTAGGTACTCATGCACTGATAGGATTCTCAATAGAGTATCCGAAACGATATTCTACTGACAATTGACTCACTAGGATGAGTAAAAAAGTGCTATTTCTTTTTTTTTTTTTGTTAACTCTACTTTCAACTTTACCCGTATAAAATATTCTTATCGTAGAATTTTTCTAATGAATTAAACTTACATGTAAACATATTGCAAACTCCTATAATCAGACACTCGACTATGTTTTTTTTTATTTCGTTTCTTTTACTAAAAACAAGATTGACTATTTTTTCCTTTCTCTTGAATAGAACATACCACACATTTATACAAAACAAAAAAAAAAGAAAAAGCATCATCAGACAACAATGAAAAATTGATAACTCTTAATAGTGAGTAAGAGGGTAAAAGAAAAAAAAAAAAAAGAAAAGAAAATCTTTTGTTCATACAATAATAAAGAATTGATAGATAAAGAAAATGATTTCATTGATGATGTGCATGAAAAGATCTGATATATCAAACTCGAAAATATTCGGAATATGGCACTATGGAGTTTTCTTATATTCATCGATTAATTTATTATAGTTGGTTGATTGGAAGTTTCATTTAAATTTGTATTATCGATTTCTGTTTGATAAGGACGACAATATTTATATCGATGATTCATATGTTGACTAAATGAGCCTAGAATAATAGAATATGTAATATTTTCTTTTAATGTTAATAAAAAAAAAGTAAATTTTCATTTAACCTGAATGACTAAAACGCTTGAAACATTTCGTACATTGAAATGGTTTTTCACCAGTATGTAATCGACGATGTTCAGCAAGATGATGTTTATGTTTAAATGCTTTTTTACAAATATCACAAATAAATGGTCGAACACCTAAATAAATATCTTTGTTTTAGTTTTTTTGTTTTTTGAAAATTAACTTCAAATTTTTCTGTTTTTTTTTTCTTTACCTGAATGTTCATATTTATGACGTGCTAATGAACTTTGTTTATTAAATGATTTATCACATATATCACATGATAATCTTTTATTAGTTAATAAATCATCATGTGATAAAAGACTTATTTCAGATGAACTATTTGGACTTAATGATTCTATTAAATCATTTTCATCTAAATGAGATTCACCGGATTTTTTTATTGATAAATCTAATGGTTCTGTTTGATAAATTGTATTTTGTAAAATATGAAAATAATATTGAATATATTGTTCATTCATAGAATAATATTTTGATAGATCATTATATTGATTTTGTTCAGTTTTTAAAGGTAATACTTCACCTTCTTCTATTTCAGGATTATGTAAATAAAATGAATTTGATGAATAACATTTTTTTGATGCCATATGTGATGAATATGAACCCGAATGAGAAAAACGTTTATTACAATTCGAACAAACAAAAGGTTTTTCACCAGTATGTATTCGAATATGTTCCTAAAGAAAGAAAATTTATATTTTATTTTTTTTGTATTTTTTGTTTCAAATACTTTTAAATGATGTTTAAATTTAAATGCTTTTGGACAATGTGAACATTGAAATTTTCGTGTTTGAGGATCCATTTCATGACTTAACATATGACGTTGAAGACGATAGGTATTGGCAAAAATTTTATGACATATATGACATGATACTTGATTTGCATTGTGATTTAATTCGTGTCGATGTAAATCATTCTATTTTAGAAAAAAACGGAATAAGAAATATCAAATAATTTGTTTTTAGTGTTTCTTTTTTTATTAAATATACTTTAGTAGTAAAAATAGCATTGCAATGTATACAATGCAATTGTTCAGAAGAACATTCGACTGATGGTATGAAATCATTAAGAAGTTTATATTTCGAAGAATTCATTTCTAAAAGAAATGATATATACAATGGTAAATCTAAATATAGAGATGACATGAATCTTCTAAAGACTGAAGTCTAATGAAAATTTTCTCATTCATTTTCATCTTTAAGACAAGAAAAAAAATAATCGAGATCGAAATAAATTTAGTTCATGGCTCCAAAGAGGGGTGTCATAAAGTCACTAAGACAGGGGGGGGGGGGGGGGGGGGGGGGGGGGGGAAGGGGGATGGTCAACTAGAATCCATCAGATTGGGATTGGGTCCGAAAATTTTGGGGTCGACCCTTGTTGTGGGGATTGATGAGCGCTTAACTAGAAAATTTTTCAAAATAGGTGATTATACTTGACTCTGAAGTAGCTACATTCAATTGTGATGCTACCTTAAACAAATTATTTACAATTATTGTCTTGAATCTCTTACCTTGTAATATGAATTTATTAATTCAGTCAAACTTTATGACATATTGAAAAGAAAACTGTCTATGGATTCATAAAAGTGTGTTTGTACAAGAAAAACTTTCTGTCAAATCGATCGACTGTTTTGTTAGTTGTTAGAGAGATGAATAATCATGACACAAAGTTTGGTAACATTATTTTTCTTCTCGTTCTACTAGTTTGAGAAAAGACTTATCTTACTAAACAATACATCTCAATCTTATATAATTCAATAGATCTTGAGCAATAGTTCAGCATAGATCAAATCATAATCGTTAACATTATTTATTGTTAGTTTTTATCAAAAGGGAATATTAGAAAATATTACATTCATCAAATATTCATTATTACCAGTTTCATCAGTTGTAGGTAAAATTTCTTCATCTAGTAGAATTTTAGCTTGATGAGAACCACTATCACATTCATCATTAACTAGAAAAAAATATCAAATAATGCAAAAATAAAAAAAAACTTCATTGGAAAAAAGTCTTTACTATGATCTAGTTCTATCATTCCAATCGTTGGTAAATCCATTCAAATATTCAATCTAAAAACAAAACAAAAAAAGAAATTAATGGTTGTTTTCCACCTGTTTCCAATGTAACTCGATCTATTAAACATAGACAGTAACATGCAGTGTTCAAAAATATGATCATATTAGTGTAAACGGCATGTGCTAGAACATTATATATACTTAATCAAATTTGCTACTTTGTTCGGTGAAGAACATAAGTAATAACAGTAGTACTCTTTTGTATAATCGATCTACGGATATGATCTGCTGTGCACAATACAGAGAAAGATGTGAATGCGCGCATACACATTATTATTACAAACTAACATCATTACGCGACCACCGACCGAACACTGATTTACATAAACAGACGACTAACTTTTTTTTTCCATCCAAGTGGGAGAGAAAAAAAAACAAATAGTAGATATAATTATTAGATATTCCTACGATTGGTTCTCACACCTGTTTGACGAAAGAAGAGAGAGAGAGAGAGAGAGAAAAAAAAAAGGTGATTCGTTCTTATGACATTTCGATTCTATTTAAAAGCAAATCAAAAAGAAAAAACATTCTGATAGTAAAACAGAGACTAGTTAAAAATAAGTAACAAATCTTATCGTACTCATTTTCTCGTAATTTGAGTAAGCTTGTCTTTATATTCATTTATGTAAACGACACAATGTGAATGCAATGTACTGTTTTAAAAAAAAAAGTTGTCTTTGACTGATTGACACATATTAGCAATGCTAATGGATCTACATCGAAGAAAAGAAAAATTCTGAAA